GCTTTTTCTTATTTATTACTTTGAAATACTTTTGGACTTACAAAAATGCTGCAAAAACAGTACAAAGAATTCTTGTACACCCTCATTTAATCCTCATGTAACAATTTTATCACATTTGTTTCATCATTCTATTTTGTCTGAACCATTTGCAAGTTAAGTTCAAGGACATGAAGCCAATTTATTCCTAAATACTTCATTATGTGTTTCCTTAAAAGGACACTGTCCTACATCACCACATTACAATGATAAAAACTGGAAAATTAACAATACATTAAGCTAAAACTGTTATTCAAATATCAACAACTGTCCCCACTGATGTCTTTTATAGCAACAGAAAGTTTTTAAAAAATTGTTTTCCCTCATCTAGTAGCCATTGTTTTTTGCCCAGGACCTTGACATCTGAGCACAGGACAGTTCTTTTGTAGACTCTTTTGTAGAAACCTCAATATGAGTTAGTTTCATGTTTCCTCAAAATTAGATTCAGGCATTTTTGGGCAGGAATATCACAGAAGTATTAGATCTTTCTCTGTGCATAACATCAGGAGGCTGTTTGTCCCACTGCTGGAGATGTTAACCTTTATTTTTATTAAGTAAAATGTACACACAGTGAAATTCATAAATACTAAGTATACCATACCATTCTACAAGTTTTGAAAAATGCATATACCTGACAAATCTCTATGAAGATAAAGAACATCTCCATCATTATAAAAGCCCTGGTGGTGCAGTGATTAAGAGCTTGACTGTTAACCAAAAAGTTGGCAGTCTGAATCCACCAGCCACTTCTTGGAAACCCTGCAGGGCAATTCTACTCTGTCCTATAGGGTCGCTACGTGTCGGAATTGAGTTGACGGCAATGAGCTTTTAGGTGCGGGTATGTATACACAGTTTTTCCAGCACCATTTCTTAAAAACATATTCCTTTCTCCACTGGTTTTTAAGGCCTCTGTCGAAAATCAAACGGCCATTTAAGTACAGGTTTATCTGGGGCTCTCTTTTCTGCTCCACTATCTATCCTTATACTAATACCACATCGTCTTGATTATTGTAGCTTTATAAAGTCTTCAGGTCAGGTAGTATAAGTCTCCAACTTTGTTCTTTTTCAAGATTGTTTTGGACATTACGGGTCTTTTGCATTTAAATATAAATTTTACAATCACTTTGTCAATTCCTCTAAGAAAGTATGCTGCTGACATTCTGACTGAGATTGTGCTGAATCTATAGACCAAATGGGGAAAACGAATGTCCTAACAATATTGAGTCTTCCAATTAAAAAACACAGTATCTCTCTCCTTTTATTTAGATCTTCTGTAATTTTTTTCCAGCACTATTTTGCGGTTCAATACAGAGGTCTTTCACATCTTTTATTAAAATTTATTCCTCAGCATTAAGATTTTATTACAAAAGACATTTTTAGAACTTCACTTCCTAATTGTTTATTGTTAATATATAAAATACGGTTGATATTTTTATATATATTAACCTTGTATCCTGAAACTCTGCAATTGTTTTGTAGAGTCCTAGTATCCTGAAACTCTGCAATTGTTTTGTAGAGTCCTATGGATCTTCTACATAAACAATCATGTTATCTGCAAATAGAAAGTTTTAGTTCTTCCTTTTAATTTGTATGCATTTTATTTCTTTTTCTTGCCATACTGTGCTTGTTAGGACCTCCAGTACAACGCTAAACATAAGTGAACATTGCTCCTGATATTAAAGGAAGCCCTACTTTTATTACAGAATTTGAGGAAGATTCAAAAGTTATGGCATCACTGCTGCCATCCTCAGAACCCCTTCTTTCCACTCACTTTTTACCCCTCAGGTTTCAAATCTCAATCCTAGAATTCTACGCCCTCAAACCTGGCTCCTCTCTCCAAAAAACAGCATGCTACTGATCAGCAACTCACTAACCCTTCGAACTAAGCCACTGTCACTTCTGAAAGTGACATTTCAAAGGTCACCCCAAACACCAAATTCAAAGCTCTCTCCCACATTTAATAACAGCTACTATTTAAAAGGGGCAATGGTGGTTCAGTGATAGAATTCTCGCTTTCCATGCAAGAGGCCCAGATTTGATTCCTGGCCAATGTACCTCAAGCACAGCCACCACTAGTCTGTCAATGGAGGATTATTTGTTGCTGTGAAGCAGAACAGGTTTCAGTGGAGCTTCGAGACTAAGACAGACTAGGAAGAAATGCCTGGTGATCTACTTCCAAAACAAATCAGCCAACGAAAATACTATGGATCACAATGGTGTGATCCCATTGTGCATGAGATGGGGTTGCCATGAGTTGGGGGCTGACTCAATGGCAGACAACAACAACAACCATTTAAAAACCCACTATGTGTCAAGGTGTGTGCTAAATGCTTCACATACATTGTTCAACATATAAGATCTTTAATCCTTACTACAATGCTGAAAGGAACATATTATCTCTACCTAGCAACGCAGGGAAAATGATAGTTAACTTGACCATGGTAACAATACAGGACTGTTAATTACATTAAACTACTATTACTTTAATACAAAAGTAAGTTTCTAATTACACACAGTTTGCTGTTGTAGTTGTTAGGTGCCACTGAGTCAGTTCCGACTTACAGAGACACTATGTACAACAGAACACTGCCCGGTCCTGTGCCATCCTCACAATCACTGTTATGTTTGAGCCCATCATTGCGGCAACTGTGTCAATCCATCTCATTGAGGTCTTCCTCTTTTTCGTTGACCCTCCACTTTACCAAGTATGATGACCTTTCTCCAGGGACTGGCCCCTCCTGATAACATGTCCTGAGTATGTGAGACAAAGTCTTGCCATCCTCACTTCTAAGGATCATCCTGGCTGTACTTCTTCCAAGACAGATTTATTCGTTCTTCTGGCAGTCCAGTCAATATTCTTCTCCAACAGCATAATTCAAAGGCATCTATTCTTCGGTCTTCCTTATTCATTGCCCAGCTTTTGCATGCGTATGAGGCAAATGAAAATACCATGGCTTGGGTCAGGTGCACCTTAGCCCTCAAAGTGACATGTTTGCTTTTTAACACTTTAAAGAAGTCTTTTGCAGCAGATTTACCCAGTGCAATATTTAGTATTTAGTAAACAATGTTTAGTATAGAAAAAATATAGAAAACCTACTGTATACAATTAGCACAAATACCTTTGTGATTTTTGACTGATTACTCCTTCTTGATATACCCCTTTCTCCTTCTTCAACTAATCACTTCTCAGTCCCCCTTACTGCTATTCCACAGTTTCTGCTGTAGGTCTCCTCCCTTCCTACTAATGTATTACTCTCCCTGGGCAATTCCATACATCTACAAACCTCAACTGTTATCTCTATTTCCAAGTGCACATCTCTAGATCTCACTCATCTCTTTTGTACCAAGAATTAATTATCTTCTCTTGCCAATCCTGCTCCTTCTGTTTTCCCTTTTCAAGTTAACTGCATACCACTCATCAAGTCATTTTGGGTAGAAACCTTATTTTTGACTCTTCCTTCTCCAGTTACAATACCTCGGTTGCCAATCCTTTAGATGTAGCCTCCAAAACAAGGTCTTTTATAACCTAAATGTCCATTAACAGGAAAATGAATAAATAAACTTAGTATATTCACATAACAGAGTATTTACTACACAGTAGTGACAATTAAAGATTTGGAGCAGGGTTTTTCAACCATGGCACTACTGACCATTTTGGACCAGATTAATTCTTTCTTGTGGGGGCTATCGTGTACATTGTAGGATGTTCAGCAACATCCCGGGCCTCTACCCACTAGACAGCAAGTAGTATGCACTATCTTTAGTTCTGACAACCAAAATGTCTTCAGATATGGCCAAATGTCCCATGGGAGACAAACCTGCCCCTGGTTGAGACCCACTGATTTAGAACTGTATGTATCAACACAGATAAATGTGAAACAATTTTAAGCAGACAAAAAATTACAATACGATAGATACTATTCCCAAAAAGCTCAAAACATGCAGTATACTATATAATGTTTATGGATACACATACATATAACGGAAGTTTATCAAAAACACACACGAGGATGATAAAGCACTGAAATCAAGATGGTGATAATCTCTAGAGGAAAGTGAGAAGAACAGGATTAATGAATGCTTTATCACATCTGTAATAACTTGCCTCTTTTGTAAAAGAATGGTCTACAGCATATTTGGCAAAATATCAATATTTCACAAAGCTAGGTGATGTGTATACGTGACAGTTTTTCTCAATACTTTTCTGTACACTTAAAAAACATATTTTTTAAAAAGACAACAACACAAATGCAAGATAAAATGGCCCTTACTGGTCTTGTTCAGATTTGATCTGACAGCAAACTTTCTTTTAAATCACTTAGCAGGTGAAGACAATACTTTAACATTTTGCTTCCCTTTGCCAATTCATTTCCCCTGGGAAAGCCACAGGACTGATAACGGAGCTTCTAATCAAACAATGTCAACAAGCAGTATAGTACCTAGTTTAAAAGGTAATCTTAAAAACTCAACTTTTGGTTTAGAGGCCAAAAGGAATGTAATTCAACATATATTAGCATCAACTTTTACTAAACACAGGCCACAGTTAATATATGCCCAACTGCACACTTATAACTTAACACAATCACTTTATACATTAGAGGGCAAAACCAAGAAAAGGAAACATTTATGGTAGTTGGAAAAAGACAATTTATAATGTGTGAGATGACATTTTTATATAATTACAGTTGAATGCTGAACCTTATGACAAACTTAAGGGAAGCTGATTTTTTTTTTATTCTAAAGGCATAAAGATGAAAAACGTACTAAGATATGCTACAAGTTACAAAGGAATCTTGGTCATCATCTTTGTATTAGTCACCTCCTTCACTCTAAAAACAATGAAAATCTAAACCTTAGGAATTTCTTTTTCTGTAATTGTTAAACTTTTCTCATTACTAACAAGGTTTTGTCTTTGAGACATTATCTGTTGGGTTTTAATTACACATCCAAAGCTTCATACTTACAAAATCTTCCTCTTCAAACTGCAACTTTTCCACCTTATCTTCTTTTTTTTCTTCCCTAATCTCTAAAGGTGGTTTTTCCTGAAAGGCAGAGCCTTTCCGGGAGTGGAAGCTGCCATTCCAGTGGCGATGGTTCCCTGTGCCACCCCCACTACGCTGGCTCATGCCATCATGACCCCGGGAAGAGCCATGCCAACCAGACGGGTTCCCTGTGATTCCAGCGTATGCTCCTCCCTTAGAGACACCAGAGTCCACAGAATCGTGACGGAACAGGGAGGGCTGGTGCCAGGAATCTAGAATAGTATGGAAAAGTAACATATTAGATTGTTTTCTTCCTGGACATTCAGACACAAGTGAGCCAGATGCCTCCAGATCTGGTTTACAGTACTGCCCAAAGGCCCTTCGGAGGATCTTTTCAATAAAAGACGAAGTCCACACAGAGTCACAAAATACATCTTTTCTTTCTAAGGTAATTTCTATGTGAGTTCAACTAAATAAATGAGTAATGAGTAAATGAGATGTTACACCCAGAAAGCCAAGGTAGGTGGGTAATAACTAATGGAGTTTTTAATTAAGAATTATGTTCACAAAAGATCATATTTCAAAATTATGGACACGCACACCCAGCCTCCACCATCCATCAGTTTGTCATACTGTGGTGACTTGTGTGCTGCTATGACACTGGAAGCTGTGCCACCAATATAGGGTCACCTATATTGGACAGGTTCCAGTAAAGCTTCCAGACTAAGAGTAGGAAGAAAGGCCTGGCAATCTACTCCCAAAACTTAGCCAATGAAAACTATGGATTATGCAAGAATACTTCTGATATAGTGCTGAAAGACGAGCCTTTTAGGTTAGAAGGCACTCAAAATACACAATGGCCCCAACAACAGACTCAAGCATACCAAGGATCAGGAAGACGGTGCAGGACTAGGCAATGTTTCCTTCAGTTGTATGTAGGGTCACCATGAGTCGAAGCTAACTCGATGGCAACTAATAACAAACCCCCAGCCTAGGTGCGTTCTGAGTAGCTTAAATGTAGTCATCATAGTTGGGCATAGCTCACCTCCTGTAGTTCTAAGGGGTCCATTGTTGAAAAAGCCATCAGAGGAATTATGTCGACGACGGCTCACTCCAAATCTACCCTCCCCTCGGGATAGGTGCTCTCCGTGTTTTTCAAAGGTAGCTGCAGGTGACTAAGATGATAAAGCATAAAGAGACAAACAGGTAAGTAGATATTAAGTCTCTTTCAGTATCTTATTAGGTTTTCCATCAGGCTTTTAGGAAACAACTAATAATGGTGGCAGAAATCCCTATGGGCCACAATAAGAGCACAAAGAGCCTCTGAGTTAATTTAGATAAATCCTATGTTACACAGTCAATCATTAACTCACTTCCTTTATCCCAGAAAGTGAGAAAAATCAGCCACTTCAATTGCTTACATGAGAAAGGGCGGGTGGGGGGGGACTCCAAATAAACCTGTCAAAATCCATAAAGAATAAGCCCCCAAATTTAACATTTTAAAATATTAACCTTGCAAAAGGAAAGAAAAATCAAAACACTTCAAATAAAAATCCTAAACAGCTTTATTATTCTTGTAAATGATTTTACAATTGGGAAGAAAACCCAAACCCAGTGCCGTCAAGTGGATTTTGACTCATAGCAACCCTACAGGACAGAGTAGAACTGCCTCACAGAGTTTCCAAGCCTGTAATCCTTACTAAAGCAGACTGCCACATCTTTCTCCCATGGAGCAGCTGGCAGGTTCGAACGCCAACCTATCGATTAGCAGTCAAGTACTTAACTACTGCACCACCAGGGCTCCTTCCTGGAAGAAAACAATGGGGTAAAACCCACAGTGGTAGGCCATTAGCAACCATAAAATTTTATAAACCGCTTATTTCCAAACATTATTCAATACTCAATAACAATATTATAATTTGAGCATCATCTTCATTTTACCCATTTACACACAAGGAAAGACGTAAGGGAGAATACGTAGTCATTTAGATTACATAACTGAAAGGAAGTTGTTTGAGAAGTTCTGTGATAGATGAGTTCTAATGTCCCTTTCTATTCTACAGAATTTTATTCTGTGACATTCTCTAGTCTAAAATGATAGAGACCAAAGTCTATAAAGCCATGAAAAAATATGTTATGCTGACAAGGGCTTACAGGAAAACTACAGGTTGGAACACAGATATTTTTACATTCTTTTTCTTAGAATCAGTATCCTCACCAACACTTGGTATTGTCAAGTCTTTTTTCTTTTAACCACTCTATTGGGTTACAAAGATTTTCTTCTGTGTTCTTCTAGAAGTTTTACAGTTCCTGCTTTTTAATTCAGGTTATGATCTATTTCAAGTTAATTTTTGTATATGACATGAAGTAAGACTTGAGGTTCTTTTTCTTTTTTCTATAGAGATATTTGATTGTTCCAGCACCATTTGTTAAAAAGACTAATCATTTCCTACATTAAATTACCCTGCACTTTTGCTGAAAATCAACTGACTATATATGTAGGACTATTTCTGAACTATGGGTTCTGTTCCATTGCTTTATATGTTTATCCTTATGGAAACACTACACTGCTTTGCTTACTATAATTTTACTGGAAATACTGAAATAATGTTTTCTCTTTTTATTTAGTTCACTTTGCTAAAACAATTACTCTCTGAAGATATAAAATCTGTATACTTTCTAAAGTATTTCCCTGGATCCCACACCCAATCTCTCTGGCCTATCACCCCCAAGCCTAAGGTCAGATTAGGTCTATATATGAGATTTTGGGAATTTCACAAGGACAATTCAATATGAAATTTACAGCAAAAAGGTTGTGGGTCCAGTTCAGACCAGAAGCATCTTCTAAAACTATTCACATTTAAAAATAGCAAAGGTAGGCCATTTCATAAGACTCTATTCCTTCTCTATTACTTGGCAAAATGGGAAGCATTTTTAAGCTTACTAGTTCCCAAAGTTTTCCTTTATCAATAACTTAGGTTATTCTTCTGTAAACCGTGACTAGATGCTCTGCTTTAATCTACATGAACTGGTTGTTCTGTCTTTACCCCAATTCACACATTTTCCCCGAAATCAATAAACAGATTACTGTTGTTGTTAGCTGCTGTCGAGTCGATTCCACCTCATGGTAACCCCATGTGTCAGCGTAGAACTTTGCTCCACAAGTTTTTCAAGGCTGTGACCTTTCAGAAGCAGATTGCCAGGCCTGTCTTCCAAGGCACTGCTGGGTGGGTTCGAACTGCCAACCTTTCAGCTACTAGCTCTTGTTTAGCAGCCGAATTCTTAACCACTGTGGCAAAGTGGTTAAGAGCTCAGCTGCCTGCCAAAAGGTCGGCAGTTCAAATCCACCAGCCGCTGCTTAGAAACCTATGCGGCAGTTCTACTCTGTCCTATCGGGTCGCTATGAGTCAAAACTGACTCGACAGCAACGGGTTTCATAAGTAGATTACGACCTCTAAAACAAAATTTTGAGGATTTAATCTGAGATCCATGTAGTAATCAAACAATCACTGTCTCTACTTTTTCCTCCTCCTCCTTGTAGACAAATGTGTTCACTGCAAAGGTCCATTTCCCCAAGAATCATTTATTTCCTTCTCATCTCTGCCCCTCTGTTCTCGACAACTGGCTCCAAAACCAAACCTATTGCTGTCAAGTCAATTCCAACTCTTAGCAACCTTATAGGACAGAAGGGAACTGTCCCATAGGATTTCCAAGGTTATAATGTTTACGAGGAGCCCTGGAGGCGCAGTGGTTAAGAACCTGGCTGCTAACCAAAAGGTCAGCTATTTGAACTCACCAGCTGCTCCTTGGAAACCCTATGGGGCAAGGCTGTTATGACTCGGAAACGACTTGGCAATGGATTTGGTTTGGAATCTTTCCTAAAGCAGACCGCCCCATCCTTCTCTTGTAGAGTGGCAGGTGGGTTCAAACTGCTGACCTTTTGGTTAAGCAGCGGAGTGCTTAACCACTGCATCATCAGGGTGCTTAATAATTGGTTAGAGGGTATGTTCTATCCCCAAAGTGTGCTGTAACTAATACAGGAAGTTTTAAGCGTGCCAGGTAATGAGAAAAGCTTAGCACACAACTGGGACACTTGGCAATAATGAGGCATACATTGATTTGGGCTGCCTATTTACATTATTTTAATATTCTATTAAAAGAAAAGTTATAACTCTATGAAAACAGTTTTGAAATCCTCAGGCAAGGCTGAATACACAAAAAAACACTACAGACTGGTTGTGGATAAAAAGAACTGCTGTACTGGTAGTTACTATAGGAACGGGGAATGGTACCTTAGCTGACTGTGGTGTTGAGAAATTTAGCCAAGCAGGAACAAAGTCATGCTGCGCCATTTAGGTCCAGTGTCTCTTTTCAGCAAGGTGAGGCATCCAACCTCATGGCCAGGATCTGAAAATGGGAAAACTCAATTCACTTATGCTGGGAAGAATCTGATACACTGTTCATAACAAGGTCATAGCTAGAAAGACAAGACAGGTGGGCTCATGTGTGGGCAAATGATGTCATCAAGGTAATAACCAAGAAATATAATATTAAAAGATCTTCTGAGCAGTTAGCTCCAATGTAAAGGAGTCTGTAATTATCCTACGATTCCCGCTTTATATAAAGACCTGTCCTCTGAGCCTCTCTACAGAAAAAGCAGTTCATGAATGTATGACCATGAAAAACACATGAACAGAAAAATGTGACATGAGTCTGGAAGGGTATATGAAAGCAGCTGGTGAATTCTTAAGTAACATCAGTAGAACCTAAGAATAGACACCTACTTAAGTATCTGATACTTACAAACGAGATTAATCTGCTTCAGGTAACCAGGTAACTTCTGGCAAAAGTTAATAGATCTTCCTAGAGAAGGAATATACAATATCTCAAAAGCTTTTCTATTTAGTTCACATTAATTTCCTCAAAGAACAACTAGCATTAGTTGTCCTGACAGATCCTTTGGCCTCTCCAAGCCACTCCACTGATATTCTCCAAAATCAAGTACCTTGGAAAGCAATAGATATTTTCCATGATATATATACACACACAGTCTTCTTTCAAAGACAGACATAAGGAGAATATTTACCCCAGAGTGTAAGCTCTGTGGTCCTGTTTCCTGAAGTCCTTGAGTCTGCCAGCTGGATCTCCCACGAGGTTCTCTTGGTAAAAGGGTGCTTAAGTAGCCTGACCAGCAGCACGCCTTGTGATGAAGCACAAAGAAGCCAGGCTCTGTGTGGATCACTCTCTCAGTCCCCTCAATTGCTCATCTTAAACTATCTAGTTCCTGACACTTTCCCAAATGGGGGAGGGGGGAGGGGAAGGGGGAAGGGGAACATAAAAAGGTATTCGTTACATTTAAAAAAGGGGGGGAAGGGGAAAGAGCTATGTTTATGTTCACCTCATTCAACTTCCTTGAGTGATGGTACTATGATGCTGCTTAAATAGATAATACATGGACATTTGCACAGTGAGTGCAAACAGTGTTCATAACAAGGTCATAGCTAAAAAGACAGGTGGGCTCATGTGTGGGCAAATGATGTCATCAAGGTGATAGGCCAAAAATATAATTTTAAAGTGCTATAAAAGATCTTCTGAGTGGTCAGCTCCAGTGGCAAAACATCCACATGACAAAGCCCTTAAAATACAAATCTCATTCTTACTCACGCAGTTGCTAAAAATAGTGTGCAGTTAGGTATTTGTATCTGTCTTATGCTTAAAAATCTAAAGACATAAGAAATCTTGTTTAAAAAAAAAATCAGACAGCAACTTGATATACTTTCCCCTCCACAGAATAGCAGCTTTCAAGGCAAGTTTCTTGGTATAAAGCTCCCAAATGTATCTTCTATATCTTTGGTCTTCACTATTTATAAATGCAGAGCAAAATTAAAACAAGTAGAAAGACGGGGTAAGGGGTAGTCAAGAAGAAAGACAGTTCCAAAGTGAGGTCTTCTTCTTTGTGGTTTTCTGTATTTCACTTTTTCTGCCCCTTTTTGAAGACTGAATTGAGCTACTGGAAGACAACAGGAAGAATTTTCTACAGCTTCAGTAGAGAAGTCACTTATTATTTTGGATCCATTTCTATCATTACTCGATTATTTAAAATGTCACAGGAATCTTCACTCTGTAAGTGAAAAAACAAAACAACACATAGTATCACTAGAGGCAAACATCACTGCTACATATAGTTGCTAAAATGAGACTCACTTAAATGACCAATCAAATCAAGGTCCCAAGAGTCAAAACCCTGAAGTCCAATTCTGTTGAGATATTAAGAATTTAATATGCCACCACCTATAGCAATAACATAACTGGATATAGTTATTTTAAGGATTTTTTGAAAAGTCACCTGAACAGAGAGTTTGCCTTCTTACATGACCATTGCTCCAATCAAAGATAATTCATTCAGAAATGCAAATTAATGGGTCTTTTAGATTTTCTCTCATAAATGAAATAGCTTGCCTTAAGTGGTCAAAGAGCCATACTGCTTGTTAGTTAATTACCATATACTATAGTCATCAACTACCTAGTAGCATAACTACTGAGTACTATTCACAGCTGGATCCTTAAAACAAGACATCTGTCACACTATTCCTCATACATTTACGTTGTACGTATTCTTAGATGCTTAGTTATCAATTAAGAGAAGTAAGCTCTTACAATCTGCCTTAAAAAATATACTGAGAGAAGACACAGAAACTACTCTGGCAAATTCCCAACATTGTTCCAGGGTCTAGAAAGTTTGCGTAATGTTCAAGTTGCTTCTGTGGGCAATTCCGGTCTATACCGATAAATTTCCAGTTTGTAGAATATGTCTCATATACACACTGGCAGCCTTGCTCTATTATACTATTTTAAGTTCACAGAAATAAGAAACACCAAATTCAGGACAGTAAATATCTCTGCGAGAAAATGAAGGGAAACAAATCAGAAAGATGTCCCAGAGGGCTCTAGCTGCATCTGCAATGCATTATTTCTTCAGCTGAGTGATGAGTACAATACTATTCACTTATTCTCTACACTTTTTATGTATCTGTAATACTTAGAATATTAATGGAATAAGCAAATAAAAAATTAAAAGATTTAAGTCATGTAATTTGTAAGCTGAAGTGTACCATCCAGACTGTATATTCTTTGAGCACAAATGGAAGTCATAAAGACTAATCACATGCTAGCTAAAAGAAGTCTCAATTAGTTCCAAAGAATAAGCATCCTATGTTCTCTGACCATACTGTACTGAAATTAGAAAATGACTTTCACTTGCAGCTCCTACACGCCCTCTCCCTTTCCTGAACAAATTCTGTCCAAAAGCCATTAGGCGGGGTCAAGCAAAGTAGGAATCTATGGAGACAGCAGGAGGTGCTGCAGAAGCACCCAGAGCAGGGTGGTGGCACCAAACCAGGAAGTGAATGATGTCCATGCAGGGTAGAGGACAGGGAAAAACGTGTTCGTGACAGCAGCCCAGTGCAGGGTACCAGAGACCATGCAGGGTAAGGACAGTGTCCTACTAGGAAGGCAGCTCAATGCAGAGCACTGGAGCCTGAGTGGAGTGAGGAGGGCATTCTGGCAGAGGGACAAAGCCAAGCAGGTTGAAGGTGTCCACGCAGCAAGGTGTTTTACACAGGTGTTGCAACCTGGATGTGGTGAGGAGGCAATGACTTCAAGGGAAGAGGTGGTAGTTGGGAAGAGGCTGGTTACATACTGGGGATGATAAAAAAGGTAAAAATATTAAGCAAAAATGGGAACCAGATTTCTCATTGTGGGAGAAAGAGCCAATGATAAAGTTTCAAAATACTTAAACAGAATAAATCTGCAGTATATAGCTAAAGCAGTATTTAAGAGAAAGTAAGCTTTAAAAACATTTTTCTTAAAACAAGACTAAAGACAAATGGACCTAAGCATTCTTATCAAGAAGATGGGAAAAGAGCAATAGAGCAAACCTGAAACAGAGAAAAGCAAAAAAAAAAAAGTCAGAAAAAAAAAAGATTAAAAAAATACAGCTCTTTTTAAAAAGATTATTAAGAGATAAACTCTGATAAAACTGGTTGGAAAAAAAAGATACAAATAAAAAAAACAGCATGATAAGGGGAAAATAAATACAATATATTAAGAAATATTATGAACAAAACAATATGGGCAATTACATGCTAATAAAATTGAAAATCTTAAACTAGGTAATTTCTATGACAAAGCAAAATTGGCAAAAGAATAGAAAACTTGAACAAATCTACATACTTTATTTTATATATACATTGTGGACACTTAAATGTGATCAGAAAAAACCTCCCCACAAAGGTTCTCAGGTGAAGATAAGAAGCTGGATCTGTACCTGCACAGTTTGCTCTCTCGAGCAGCAAATGATTATCTCTTTAGTGAGCTGGGACAGGGCTGATTAGCACTTTGGCCCCGCCTGCAGAAAGAACAGCTAGTTCAGGTATAATCCCTTGATATTAGCTCTGTAGTTCCAGTCTAGAGATTTTTATTACGGGTGTAAGGACTTAATAACTGATGGGATGTGAAGGATGAAGGAAAAATATAGACTCATACTCTAATTTCTAGCTTCACAACTAGGTAGGTGATCAGATCATTTGCTGATATAGAAAATAAATGCTAACTGGATACTGTTTCATTCAGAGTTGTTTTTATGTAAGTCTACAGCTGTAACTTCCAGTAATAGATGTATGATGACACTGTTCCTGTAATAAGTTCTTCTAGAAAAGTATCAATCAAATCAACCATTCTTATGGAAAAGACATAATTGTTGCTTACTTTAGTTTTTGTCTTAAGAATTCTGGTTGAAACCTCAGAGAACCTGAGGTTCAAGGCAGGGAGATGAATCACCCATTAGGTTATGAAACAATTACATATGAAGGAAAACGTCTCAATCTTAAAGAAGTCCCTTTTTCAAACACCACTAGGCGTATTCCAGTTTCCCAATTTACACTTACACGCTATCTTTTAAGGCCTTTATGTACCTAATCCCAAGTTTTTCTGTGGCAGGATCCCAACTGGAGCAGTGACTGCAGAGGAAATATTAACTGACAGAAGCTTTGATACTGGTGTGAAAGTTCTGAAGCTGTTACATATCTATATCAACTACTTATCCATTATGCACTACCTCCAACATAATCCTGGGTATAGTTATGCAGCAGAATGGTGTGTGCACACGTGTGCAGAGGGTGTGGTGGGAAAGGGATGGATGACAGATGGGACTGTTTAGTAAAGGCAACAAATAAAAAGAGATGAAAGAGGGCAGATAAGAGAAATTCCTATTTGGGGAATAAAAGAAAACATGCCAAAATGCAGGCAAAGGTTTTATTAGGGTGTCAGAATATGAACATTTTATCTTCTTTATTATTCAAAGTGTTTTTATAATGAAGTTACTTTGTTCTGCAAATTTTTATAACTAAAGTTCTTAGTGATGCCTTTTGAGGCTGTGGCTATTTTTATAGGATGATCTGGAGGGCTTTTGCTTACTACAAAAAAATAATTTAAAATTCTCTTAGAGAGAGAACTTTTAAAAGATAAGAAAGATTAGATTGGAGGGGAAATCAAGATGTCAAGTATATACTCTGGAGCTCAAGGAGAGGTGGGCTCTGGAGATTTAATTTTGGGAACTGTATTAGGTAGATGATGTTTAATTAAAATCAGGAGAAAAGATGAAATCTAGGGAGAATATAAAGATAGAAGAGTTTCCAAGTCCTGTCTATTGTATTCCTTCTTTTCCATATTTATTTATCACTCTTCAGGTCCCCAATAATCTCCAATAAAAAACTCTAAACTGGTTTCATTGGTACTGCTAAACCTCTTCTACCTTCCACCTTAGCCTTTACTATTAGCCTCCAGATCTCTCTTCCTAAATCAAAGATCAAATTATATCACTATCCCTGCTCAGAAATTTTATGGCTTCCCACCAACCACAAAATACCATTTAAACTCCTCAGCCTGATAATCAAAAAATAAGCCTTTCTCCCACCCCCCAAGAGCCAGCCTTAAAAAGTCTACTCTAGTTCACCCAGTGGTGCCTAGGAAGAAAGGCCTGGCAATCTACTTCTGAAAAATCAGCCACTGAAAAACCTACAGAATACAGTTCTACTCTGACACAGATGGTCACCATGAGTCAGAGTCAACTTGGTAACAACTGGTACTGGTAGTTCTCTTTATCTGGAAGTAATCTCCCTCTCTGATCTCTTTAAATTGTGCCTTCTTGGGCATTTTAACACTTGCTCGGCCCAGGATAGTTAAAAACATTCTCTCATTAGGCCAAAAACTCGCTGCTTCTAGAATTGTCTCGTCCTTCTTTGAATCATATACAGCATCTAGCATTGTGCCTTGCAAATGGTAAGGGTTTAGATGTTTGATGAACTAATTTTTAAAAATTATAATAAAGCAAGGATGTGGAGAAATTGGAAGTCTCATACATTACTGGCAGGAATGTAAAATGGTACAGCTGACGGGAAAAGAGCCTGGCAATTCCTCAATAAGTTAAACACAGAATTACCATATGACCCAGCAGTTCCACTCCTAGTATATACCAAAAAAAAAAAAAAATTGAAAACAGTGTCAAAAACTTGCACATGAATGTTCATGGCAGCTCTATTCACAATAGCTAAAAGTTGGAAACAACCCAAATGTCCACCAAGTGATAAACAAAATGTGGTATATCCACACGATGGAGTATATTATTCAGCTACAAAAAGGAATGAAGTACTAATACACACTACAACATAGATGAACCTTGAAAACATTATGCTAAGTGAAAACAAGTCAGACACAATAGGCCACATATTGTGTGATCACTTTTATCAGAAATACTGATAATAGACAAATCAGAAAGCAAGTTAGTGATTGCCAGGGGCTGGTGGGGAGCCATTTTGGGTGATGAAAAAGTTCTGGAACTAGACACAGTGATGGTTGCACAACAATGTGAATGCACTTAATGTCAGACAATTGTATTTAAAAATGGTTGCAATAACTGTGTATTTTAATACAATTTTAAAAATTATAACAAAAGTTATTAAGTCAACAGAAATAAAAAAAAAACCAAACCCACTGCCATCAAGTCAATCAACAGTAACAGTCACTATTAAATATAAACGATGCTCTACATCACCCATTCTTTTT